ATGTAATAGAATTATATCTATTTCATGATGTAATTTTAAACAAATAGATAACTCAAGATACTTCACTGGATTTATTGACATTGCTTTAAACTTTCCTTGTGTAAATATTCAATAAGTAACGAGTTCGACTATCAAAGACCATTAATTTGAACTGAATATGTATTTGATTGTGAATGTAAACACGTAAGTAAGTACTTTACGTTGGTAGTGCACAACGTTAGGTTTAAATCGGAAACTAGCGTTTCAGTTTCTGGCCGGCAGATTTCGATCGATGCGTCCGCACTCACCATGCCATGAATGTTAGCATCGCTAATCTGAACAATATTCGTGGATAATGCAAGCCACATCTCGATTACTCGGCCTCTATCGCCATAAACGCAGCTGGCGTAACCTCTGACCCGTTGTTTGTTACCGAACTACTGCCCACAGTCTGTGCGACTTTATTTCCGAACTATCCAACCCTACGTAGTTTACTATCTCGGTTAAATTACTTCGTAGTGAAGGTATTGTTCATGCCTTTGTTTCTCTCTTCATATTGATTAAAATCTCTGAAAGATCAGTTCAAAGCAACAACGTTTATCCTTTTAGAATCGTTCTATTTTCGTTTGGCCGAAATGAAAAGGCTAAAAACTGGCAAAAATCAACATTGCTTTTAAATTGGAAAGGCAATCGTGTACCGGTTTTGTTTATTTCCGCCCGGACGGATACAAAGCGTTGCTCTCGTCCAATCTTTCGCTCGTTTGCGCGTCGGAACGAGTAGCGAGCACGTACGCACGAAGAAAAATCAAATGAAAGTACGATTTGCATGCGAAAACCGTTTCAAGAGATCGCGCGCGGGAATCCGGGCTGAAACAGTGTGACTTTTAACGAACCGTTACGTTTTACGATACGGCAATACGCGATAAAATTGTCAAGAATCGTACAAAAAGTTTAATGACACATGAAAATTTTGATCAAGTAATTACTTATCCTTTTATCCAAATACCTAACATTAGATTATATTATTATAGATTTTGATCAATATAATGCGAGGTATTGCGCCTGCCCGCACCTGTTTATTCCCCATTACACTAATAACAGCACACTAATGCGATGGCTATTACAATATAAAACAAGTACCAATAGCGTGACTGATGTAATCGACACGTGAAACTTTGCTTATTCGTCGGCGCATGCAATTTAATTACTTAAATTCCATTAGGGTAAATTAACAACTAAAAGCTGATTATCCTTATTAAATATTTTTAAAGTTATTTGTAATTACATTATGTGAATTTCAACATTCACATCGTTCTTTTGAATGTACAAAACAATAAATATTCATTGGTGCTTCCCCAATTTGGGGAGTTAGAATCGATCGAATGAGGGGTTGCGAAGGGAAATTAACCTGGGGATAAGTCTTAAATTAAAGGCCCTTAATTATCGTTTTGCGTAGTAATAAACTGGTGGATTTGCCAGCAAAACAGGATATTGAAAGCGCCAACTCTAAATGTTTGAAATCAATTTCCTAGGTAAATTTCTACATTAAGTTAAAATAGCGAAATTGTATCTTTGTCTTCGTAGAAGTTGCGGAAAAGGTGGCTATAATAAATAAATTTATAAAAATCATCTGCATATTGAGCTGAATATGGAAAATTTTTATCGATTCATAAATTACTAAAGCCAAGTAGCGCCTGTCTGGAAAATTCGATTTGAAGCTTTGCATTCACGGCAAACTGTGACTGAATATATAGAACTGTACCATTTCGTTTTATATGGAACACTCGGTGTCTTGTTTATGTCGACTTATAAATCCAATTTTAAATGTATGTAGTTACAACTTTCAAAAATTCATTTACTTTGCAATCACGATGGTGAAAGTATAATGATATTCAAAGTGCATATTTGAATTGAAAGCATATTTAAATTTTTCTTTATGTAAATATTTGTAATCTCATCGTTTTGAGATAATCTTGTTTTGAAGTATACAGGGTGTCCCGTTAAGCGTACGGAGCGGCTGTATCTCTAGAACGGTAAGGCCTAGAGGTTTGGGAAAAAAATCCTAATAAGTAAAGTGACTAAGAGAAATAGCTGGAAATTATTTTGAAGTTCGTAATTCGACCGCTAGGGGGCGTAACTGCCATTGAGAAACATAAAGTTCCCGCTATCTCAGAAACTTAGACGATGAGCTATAACTTTGACAACATCATTTAATAGCTTGGATAATACCGCATCGCTTTTGTTTTGCGATATTTCTCATATCTGTCATAATAAGGGAGGGGGAGGCCAATGCGTTTTCATATGTTTACATTTTAATATCTCCTAGACCATTCAACCGATTTGAATGTTTTCGGTGTTGTTTGAAAGAGCATTTTATGCTCTTTTTAAAGATATTTTCAGTAAGACCGTCTGCTTTAAAACAAATGAGCTAGAGGACGTTATCTGCAGCGATTACATATTTTTGTGATTTTTGAAGAAAAGTTAAATGGAACGATACTATTTACTTCACAGACCCTTAGTCACCTTAAAATTTGCTAAATTTTAGTGAAAACCGCATCTCGATATCGCCACCCGTTCTCGAGTTATAGAAGAAAATGTTAAAAACTCGAGTGCCATCAATCGGATCCAGTTACCTCATCGAGAAAAACAAATCACATAACCATGGTAACTGTAAACATGTCATTTACTAACGCAGAAGCGTATGATAGAGCGTATGATGATTTATTTTCAATGTTTCGAATACGATGCAACTGCATGGCAAAAATGTGCAATGCAATTACGACAAAGAAAGACATTTTTCTCTAGAAGTGTTTTTAAGATTGACTTAGCGATTACGGAAAACTGGCAACGTGTAGCCCATTCAGACATCTCTATGAATTCGTAAATCACATTGGTGCGCAATGTGATCCCACATAATCTGGGAACTCCGAAAACAATTGTCCACAAGAGTTCTCAAGAGAATAATATCTCCACCACGTTGTTTTACATCAGGCCTTAACAGATACCGATTATGATAACAGACTGAACTATTACCATTGACTTTTAAATATGATTTGGGCAAATCCAAACCTTTTATCACAAATGCTATGGATGCATGAAGCATCTGTCCACAAGCTGATGTAAACTTGCATAATATGCATTCTTGGTTCGAGCAAAACCCACATTGCTTTCACCCCTTTATCTATTGGGTAGACTAAACGACCTGACTTTTCAAGAAAAACCAATAACCAGGGAAAATATGACAAAACACTAAATACCAGTAGAAACGTGTCCAGGGCCGAGACTTAAGCAGCGCTTTTTTTTCGTCGAAACTAGATTAAATAAATGCATCGAGGTTTATGGAAGGCATTTCGCACATTAGTGAGTTATTTTTGCCAAAAATTTAAGTTATTCTAAGTGTTTTGGTTTATTTTGTTTTATTATCATTGTTGATGTTTCATTGATCCGTTGGCTTTTCAACACGCCTCAAAAGTAGTTTTGAAGCAGTTCTAAGCTTGGATAAAGTGTGAAGGAAGGTTCTAGATAATAAAATTTTTGTTCTCTCTTATTTGTTTCCTAAGGTAACTTGATCCGATTAAGATATACGAATTTTTAACATTTTCTTTTATAATTCGAGAATGGATGGAGATATCGAGATGCGGTTTTCACTAATATTTAGCAAATTTTATGGTGATTAACGGTCTGTGAAGTAAATAGTACCGTTCCATTTAACTTTTTTTCAAAAATCACAAAAATATGTAACCGCTGCAGATAACGCCCTCTAGCTTATTTGTTTTAAACCAAGCGGTCTTACTGAAAATATCTTTTAAAAGAGCATGAAATGCTCTTTCAAACAAGACCAAAAATATTCAAATCGGTTGAATGGTCCAGGAGATATTAAAATGTAAACATTTGAAAACGCATTGGCCTCCCCCTCCCTTATTATGACAGATATGAAAAATATTGCAAAACAAAAGCGATGCGGTATTATCCAAGCTACTAAATGATGTTGTCAAAGTTATAGCTCATCGTCTAACTTTCTGAGATAGCGGGAATTTTATGTTTCTCTATGGCAGTTACGCCCCCTAGCGGTCGAATTACGAACTTCAAAATAATTTCCAGCTATTTCTCTTGCCCACTTTGCTTATAAGGATTTTTTTCCCAAACCTCTAGGTCTTACCGTTGTTGAGATACAGCCGCTCCGTACGCTTAACGGGACACCCTGTACTCTTAACACATTCGCTGCCGATTACACCTATAGGTGTATTATACGGTGTCATTAGAGGCGCCGAATACACCTATAGGTGGTTACTGTACAGTTGGTTGTATACACCTTCTTAATTTTTGATGCAAGTGTTTTAGTATTTTTAGGTTAGTTTTCTGACAAGGTAATTGTTTTTCAATTGTATATTGTCGTTTTGAAAATGGAGAGTCAACCAAAATCTTCAGGTTCGAAAAGAACATTAACAAAATACGAGTAAAATACTAGTACGCGACCGCTAACAGAAGATGAATTGAGACATATTTTATAGTCTGAAGACGACGATAGTGACGATAACTTTTCTGTACATAGCGATGAAGGACATACAACAAATAGTGACAGTGATAATAGTTATGGAATTGACGATGTACAGAACGAAGTGTTGCCAAAAAATAATTCTAGCGATGAAAACATGACATTGACTGAAGATGCATTTGTAAACAATATTCAATTTGAGGGCGCACAATCATTCTTCCCAAATATGCCGAGACACGACCCTATCAACTATTTTGTACTGTTGTTTGATGAAGATCTAATAAATCTTATTATCGAAAAAACAAATGAGTATGCAGCCAATCTTCTTTCATCAGATAGAACACGTGCACAATCTCGTATTAGACAATGGAAACATCTTACAACAGACGAATTGAAAACATTTATTGGTTTGTTGCTACTGTCTGGTACAGTTCAACTTCCTCGACTATCAGACTATTGGAAAAAACACTGGTTGTATAGAAGTTGCTTCTCCAACTATATGTCAAAAAATAGATTTTTACTGATAATGAGATGTTTGCATTTTTCATCTGATGACAAAAATAACAAAGCCCGTTTAGCAAGAATACGGCCCGTTATGGACCACTTCAATACTAAAATGCAGTCTGTTTACAGCTCTGGAAAAGAACTTTCCTTGGACGAATCAATGGTATTATGGAGAGGACGATTAGCTTTCCGTCAATATATAAAAAATAGGAAACATAAGTACGGCGTGAAACTTTATATGTTGACGGAACCCAATGGACTGGTACAAAAGTTTACAATTTACCATGGCTCAACGGATGTGTTGGGTGGGGCTGGACATACATCAAAGGTTGTTCAATACTTATTACAAGATAGACTGCATCAGGGACATTCTGTTGATATGGATCGGTATTACAATAGCTACGAATTAGCCTCATACCTTCTCCAAAATAAAACATACTGTACTGGAACCCTAAATATAAGAAGAAAAAACAACCCACGAGCCAACCAAGAAGCAAAACTAAAACCAGGGGATAACAAGTCCTTATTCTATAATGGAGTGCACATTGGTAAATGGACATCCAAACGCGACGTCCTGTATATAACGACTGAATATGGAAATAACATGGCTGAATCCAGAAATAAAAGAGGGCAAGTAACACTAAAACCTCTTGCAATTATCAATCACAATAAATACATGTCAGGCATTGATCAACATGATCAAATGCTGTCGTATTACCCCTGTGTCCAGAAAACAATGCGCTGGTACAAAAAAATCTTTATTCATGTATTACAAATGAGTGTAATAAATTCTTACATTCTGTACAAAAAATATTCAGGAAATAGAAGTAAGAGTATTTATGAGTACCGATTAGCACTTTTGGAATCACTTTTACCGAAAGTTGTACCGAAAGCTACTGTGACCCTGCACGAATTACGAAAAATAGAGAAAACTACTGAAGAAGTATATCAAACACCTGATCAAACAACTAAGAAGATGAAAAGAGTAGTAAGAAAGGAGTGTAAAGTTTGTAGAAGTAACAAGAAGAGGACTGCAACTATGTACATTTGTAATTCCTGTGAAGGTTCACCTGGTTTTCGCGTTAAATGTTTTTTTATTTACCATAAGCAATAAATTATAAAACTTACACCTATAGATGTAATCGGCACTGGCAACGTCATTTTCGTTAGAAGTGCCGGGTGCACCTATAGGTGTTTTTATAGTGAATAATAATAATCATAATTGTGTTAACAATTTAAATAAATTATATCTATAAATATGATATTTTGTTTGTAAATGGCTCATACAAGATTTTTTTTAAGCCGGCACCGCTATTCCAACACTAACTTACGCCGTGGCAGCGAATGTGTTAATAGATGTGACAATCGAAATATGAAAAAAAAAAAATAGATTTTTTTAAACCTTTACATAGCAATACCCCCATAAATCCTTTATGCACTCGCGATATATTTTCCTTATCCTGTATATTTTTATAAGTTGAAAGCACCTTTTTCACTCGAACACGAAACTTGAATCCTCAGGAATTGGTTTGGTGGAAAGTCACAGTGTTGCCGGTTCTCTGAGCAATATACCGGGCACCAATATCGTCCCGTCTGCGTCTGTTCTCATAAATCTAGCTTTGGATCGTACACCGCTCGATTTCGATTAGTTCGTTACAAAGTGCTATATAGTATCTTGCTCTTTACAAAGAGAGAGAGAGAGCGAGTGAGATGTAATTTCGAACTTTTTGATCAGCATGCAGAAGTGCCTATCAATTACCAGCACTCTCGTTGTTGAAGTCAGAGTAGTTCCGAATAAATACGGGAAAATGAAAAGCATCGCGTGTTGAGTTGAAAATGAAAAGCTTTCATTCCCACCTGTTTTAATATCTTTTAGATATTTTATTTTAGAATGAAACTAAACATAAAAAGAAGTGATAAATGGTCGTGTTTAATATTAATGTCCATTGAGTAAACGGTGCCCCGAATTTAACATTATCGTCTTTTTTTTGCTGTTTTTCTAGTCTAGGTTTCTCCCCTTTTTCCACTCGCCCTCGTTTTTAGAACGTTTCTTGAAAGGTTCGTCGGTCTGGGGTCAAATCGGGGTGTGAATGCGAGCCAATTCACCCCTAATCCTTACCCTTTAACCCTTCGCGTCAAGGAGCGACTGTTGTATTTTTCGAGTAAATAAGCGCACGTACCAAAATAATCGTTCACAGGATTTCTTACCGAGTTTTCTCATCAACAAAGTGTAAACGAATGTCGTTTCTGTTTTTCGATCCGACACTCTGAACAATGTGTCTTAATCTTATATAGAAAATAAAGTTTTTTTTTAGTTGTTTTTTAAAACAATTTTTACATTTCGTTGCGCAAATACAGGTGTAATAAATTTATCGTTACCACATCGAAACTGTCCTCTCACATCGCCTTTTTTTTCAATACCCTCTCGTCGCCGTTGGGGGTAATGCATATTACTCATACGTTTCCAATTCCCAATTGATATTCCCTGGCCAATCTGAATTTATTGTTCCCAATGCTCCGCTCGGCCTAATATATGTTCTGTATGCGGACGCGACCCGACCACGTTTCAGTTTTCATTATTCCCCTTTCCTTCACTTCTATTTCCACACAAATACGTACAACACAGAATCCGGAAAAAATGTGTTAAGGGCAGAAATGAAATGACGCCGGCGCATACAATTTCCATTTTCACCTTTCTCATCATCGTAATACAAAGATAATGGGGCAGAGGATAAACATAAGCGACTTCACGATGTCATCTCCTCCACTCCGAATACATACGAAAATCGATGACAGACGTGGGAGTTTAATTTCATTTTATGTGTTACTATCGGACTCGGAATGAATTAATTTTTCACACTTGAACGAACGTTTATATTTGTGTTACATTTAAAATAATGTTTACCATATTTTATTTAAACAATTTTATCATAATTGTGTCAATTGATAGTCGTTAGTTATATTTAGTTTGCAAATTGGATGAAAACGTTAATTGAAATTATTAGTTTATAAATTGTACTGCAACAGTAGATTTCATATAATTTAGAACTTTACGCAAAGTTCTCTAAAACTGAATTAAAACAAAGTCAAATTAATTCTCTCTTAACTCCCTTCGTATCAATAAAAGTTTTAGTCCCATAACTTTATATAAATAACTCCAATAAAACAATGGTGATGTAAAATTACATTAAAAACATTCTGTTTATGGTCTCTCATTTGTATTAGAGTAGAATGTTATTAATCAATTTCGACGCGTCAGGTCGCGTGCTTCGTTTAGATCCAATCGTGTGGTAATCGAAAACTAATGAAATTTGGTGATAGTGGATGCCTAGCCTTAAAAACTGCGGAGCTGTGCACGTCGCGCGTTGCATCGCGTCGGGTTAATCGATACTACATGTTTTACTGCAACACCAAAACTGAAGTTTGTATAGTGGGTTATTACGAAAGCGGTTCGATGTGTTGGGTGTATTTTGGGTTTTGTGCCTGTGAACGGTTTGTTCGCTTGACGAGGTTTTGTTGTTTTCGGGGATGATGAATGCGAACAAACCCATGATGTTTGGCTTACTACTTTAAAAACAATTACTGATTGATGAAGTAATGTTCAGGATTTTATTTTTTACGTGAATACCAAATACTTTCCATTAAGGGAGGCTTAATATTAATAAATGGCAGTGTTGAAGAGCTTTTTTATCACAGAGGCAAAAAATTAAAATTAAACATGTCTCTTGCATATGTTCAAGAGAAATTACTAATTTTAATTTGTATAAGTTGACTTAAAAGTAATACAAGGTGCTTACATCCGCTTACTTAAGTATTACAATATTATTTTATGCTATATCATACATGAAGAAAGGAATTAATATTTAAAATCCTCTAAGATCCTCTACCCTCCTCTCCCCTTTCCACACCTTCGCCTCCTAGCCCCCATCACCTCCCTCATCCATCTTTTCCCCTCGCCCCCTGCTCCCAAAATCTGTTTTCTGTCCATTGCCTCCTCCCTTAGCTCACTACACCCTCTCAGCATGTGTTCCAGCCTCTCCCAATCCTCTCCACACAGCCTACACCACCTCTCCACATCGTCCGCCCAGTACCTATTCCCCTCTCCTCATTTCCACAGCGGAATCTGGCCACCAATCTCTTCCCTTCATCATCCCCTTCCATCAACAACTACTTTGGCAGTTCCTCTGCCACTATCTCCCCATACCTTTCATTGTATCTCCCTTCTCGTATCTGTGACCTTCTTTCCTGCCTCTGTATATCAATGTCCCTATCTCTCAGTTCTCTCCACATTTCACCTCTTTCTGCTCTTCTGTTCTCGATCTCAGTTAGTGAGTATCCCACTCTTCTATAATATTCTTTCCTGTCTCCTTGCCCATAGATCAGCCTCCTCTCCTTAATTTCCCTCCAGCATTCTCCCAAGATCATGCAATGCGGTCTTGCTTCTATCATTTCCTCATACTTCACCGCTCTTAATAATAATAATAATAATAATAATAGACTTTATTGCCAAACCACACAGCAATTACAGAAATAAAACAATATAATGTAGCAAGATAATATAACCAAAAATAAAAACAATAAATGATTCGAAAGAAAAAAAAAAGATACAAAATAAAACTATCTAAACAAAAGAGAGCTATTATAGCATAGTGCGGCAAGCAATTCACGAGGCGCAGATTCAGGAAAATAAAATCCTGTTCTTCCATCTGGACCTCGATAACAAAAAGAGGTATTAAACATTAATAATTGAAGACGTAACAAATACAAAACACAAAAAAAAATTTTAAATTAGTTGTAAATAATAAACTAATTAACTAAACTCGATTCCGTGACATGCGCAACGCAACTCGATATCGGGACCCCTTGCAACAGAGAAGCACACTGACATCTGAATAATCTTTCAAATAACCGAGACCTGAACGTCGATACACTTAACTTCTTCTCACTTCCCCTATCTCTCTTCTTCTCCCTATCTCCACCCTTACTGCATTCACCTTAACCTCCTCCCTCACTACATACCCGGGAATCTCCCTTGCCAACCCTAGTACCCATCTCCAATATCGTGTTTGTATATCCTCCAACAAACCTTGTTCTTTCCATCCCCATACTTCTGCGCCGTACATCATTGTGCTCCTTACCAAGTCATCAAACATAACCTTTCTTTTTCTCACGTCCCTCCCTAAAGTTCTTTCCCCCCATCCCCAAATCACTCTGTTCGCTCTTTTTGCCATCGCCCTCATGTGCGCCCCGACCTTGTTACTTTCCGCGAAACCATATTCCAGGTTCGTGTACTCTTTCACTTGCTCTATCTCTCTTCCCTGTCACCTCCATTCCTCCTTCTTTCTTCTCCTCCCTTTGCAGAACTTCATTATCTTTGTCTTCTCGACGTTTACCTCCAACCGCTTCGCCTTAAAATATCTTTCCAGGGACCTCATCATCTCCTTCATCTCCACCGCGTCTCTAGCCACGACCACCAAATCGTCCGCATCCGCCGTATATATTGCAAATGGGCACCCCTGTCTCAATCCCTTTGTTGTAAAGAATATCTCACTTAACTTTTCCCCCACTTTAACCTTGTCCATCGTCTCCCTGTACATCTCCTTCACCCTCCCAACAACTTCTGTCTATCCACGTTATCGAATTCAGCCTTCAGGTCAATAAACAGTTCATCCAGCTTTCGCCCTTCTTGTTCAACTCCCTATCTACTAGGTGTTTCAGAATGTATATATTGTCAATTGCCCCTCTTCCCTTCCTGAATCCCGCCTGCCCATTCGGCAACAATTCCCCCCTCCCCATTTCCTCATCCAACCTCACCACCAGTATCTTTGCATACATTTTGAAAGTTGTGTCCAACAGGGTGTTTAAATAATTGTAATTAAATAATAATAATTGCTCACAATGCTTTTACTCCCCTTTTTATACAGTGGCCATATTATCCCCATCCTCCACCTGTCCGGAAACCTCTCCCCCATCCATACGTCGTTTATTACTTTCCCTAGCTTCTTCTTCACTGTCGCCGTCGCCTCCAACTATGCCTCATTTTAGATCTCATCCTCTCCTGGCGCCCTTCCCCTCTTCAATCCCCTCAACACTGCTTCCATTTCTTAAAGTGTT